TCCCAGGATTTCCTTTGGGACTTCTGCTCGCAAGGCTTAGCTTTGTTTAGTAGGCAATGGAGGAATTATAACTACCTAGAGGCCCCAAAGTAGTTCCTTTTTGGGGTGCATATATAGAATTCTATTAGGTAAGCCCAAAAAGGAACTACTTTGGGGCCTCTGGGTATTATTGCTGCCATTCTTCCATTCTGCCATTCTTCCATTCCCTACTAACCAAAGGTAAGAAGGGTCCCAAGTATTTCTCATTACAGGACTTAAGGAACTTTAGAACCGTTCTGGGTACCCAACACCATACATAAGGGCTACTTGGACCCTTACTTGGAAGGTCGTGGGACTTAGTAAGTAGGTAATAAGTAGAGTTATAGGTACCTTAAAAGGGATCCTAATTGGGGAGTGGTAGTTAGAAGTCTCTGACAAGGTAATTGCTAAGTCCCCTAAACCCTAAACCCTAAACCCTAAACCCCTAAACCCTAAACCCTAAACCCTCCAAGTAGGGTGTCGGTTCAGGCTTTGAAGGCTCGTGGGTTTCTGGTTTAGGGTTTAGGGTTTAGGGTTTAGGGTTTAGTTTAGGGTTTAGGGTTTAGGGTTTAGGATGATGTTTTAGGATTCCTCTGGCCAGCCAGGGAACTTGCTAAAACTTGTTGGGATGACTAGACGATTGGTAAATACCTAAGCTACTTTGGGGACTCTTTATTGTAATTACAGTACAATCTAACCCAAAACTCTATTCTAATTATTAAGGCCTGTATATAAGAGTTCACAGAAGAGTGCCGAGCTTTGTCTCTGAATCGGGTGAGGGAGGAAGTTACTGAAAGAGAGAGCCTGGTGTCTGCGTTTGCAGACATGAGGGAGGCCTGCAAGGAAATCCAAGCCATCCTAAACACTAAAAAGCTTCTAAAGGCCCTTGATTCAGGAATATTCCGAAAATCATAGGAAACTTACCGGAACCTTGACGAAAGAACCCATGCTGTTTCCTGCCCAAGGGTGCTGAACAAAGCCCGTCAACACGAAGCACCCTCGTAAGCCGGTTTGTCTTTGCTTTGCAAGCTCTGATGGGAAGGGACGTCTTGGAATCCGAAGCCCGAAACCTTAAACCCTAAACCCTACAACTCAACCCTTTGGGGTTTGGGGTTTAGGATGCCCGAAACCCCAAACTCTAGTCCCTAAACGCTATAAGCCCGAAGCCCAACAATCCCGAGATTTCGGCCCGATGTCTTCTTCGGAATCAGGACCACCCAGATCTTCCAATACCCCCTGCTTCAGGAAACTTCATGAGTTTATTATTGTGGGCAAGGGAACACCTTACATTACAGCTAGTGAGGTACTGCAAGCGAGCCCCTAAGGTTTGATCGAGCCCGAGGGACCTAGATCGTGTTTGTGTCCTTTTGAGTATAAAGGGAACTCCAAAAAGTTGGAATATGGTTTCTTGGTAGGATACCCTATAATTTACCATAGAAGGGTTAGGATAATCATATTCCAATTTTCTGGCTTTTACCTTAAGACATACCTGAGTTGGACTTGTACGGAGCGGCTATCGCCTCCAGCCTGGGCCGGCCAGCATAAACCCTAAGGCTCCATGTACCTATATAGTACACACTTGGGCCTTAAAGGGGTTCCTATATGGGTACTTTAGGGCATAAGTATATACCACATGGCTACATGGAGCCTTTGGGAAAGGAAGTAAGAAAGTGACTTGGTTTTCCTTCTGATCAGCTGGCGAACAGGCAGACTTTCGACAGAGATCCAAGAACACATTATAACCCTAAACCCTCAAACCCTGAACCCTAAACCGATCATGCAGCCGGAGTTCGCAGCTTATATACCTCTTGTCCCAAAATGTGATCGCACGAGAAGCCTTGCAGGCTTTTGCCCTAAACCCCATAAAACCAGAACCCAGAAGACCCCTCAAGCCCTTTTCCCGCCAGACCTTATCGAAACCCATCCCACCAGGGATCCTAAATGAGGTTATGATGCATATAAGTGTATAAACTGACTACTTACTAAGCCCCACCGACCCTCCAAGTAAACTAACACCCCTAAATCCTAAACCCCTAAACCCTAAACCAGCCAAACCCTAAGCCCCTAAACCCGAAACCTCCTAAGCCCAAAAGAGCCGGAATCCAATGTAGGCCCTCGCTGCGTTTGCAGAGCCCTGGAGACGGCTTGGAGGCAGATTCAGGGGTTCCGGAGGGTCTAAGGTAAAAGCCAGAAAGTTGGAATATGGTTTCAGGGTAGGATACCCTATAATTTACCATAAAGGGTTTAGGATAGTCATATTCCAACTTTCTGGCTTTTGCTATAAATCCCAAGGGTGTAGAGTTCTAGGGTTTAGGGTGAGGAGGGTTTTAGGGGTTAGGGTTTTAGGGTTTTAGGGTTTAGGGTTTAGGTTTAGGGTTTAGGGTGAGGAGGGTTTTAGGGGTTAGGGTTTTAGGGTTTTAGGGTTTAGGTTTAGGGTTTAGGGTGAGGAGGGTTTTGGGGGTTAGGGTTTTAGGGTTTTAGGGTTTAGGTTTAGGGTTTAGGGTGAGGGGTTGATGAGGGTCTAAACCCCAAGGGTCCAACGCACCCAATCATAAAGTACTTGGGTTCAGGATAGCAGTTATGAAGGTTCATATTTGGCGGAGTCTGGTGGCTGGGGGAGTATATGATTATTGGGTACTTGGACCCTTAGGTAAAGGGCTTAAGGGGCAATTAGGGGTTCTTGAAGGGTTCGATAGGGATCTTCACAGGGTGCTCAGGTGGGGCTCCGGGGTTTTATCAAGGTTTGACCACGATTTTAAGGATCCAAAAACCTCATAATTTTGCGTGTGAGTTTAGGCTATTAGTCGTTTAGTTACCTTGGGGAGCATGTGATGCTTCAGGAAGTTATTAGGTCCTTAGCCCGCTAGCGCTGGCGATATGAGTATTTCGTGTTTGATGCTGATTTCCGTGTAGGGTCTTGTAGTTTAGGGTGTCGGACATGAGAGTTTGGGTTTTTGTCGGGTTTAGCCTTGAGAGGGAAGACGGCGGTATTAAGGCGCTATCATTGCTCATGGGACGATTTCAGCATTCGGACTGCGGGCCATAACCATCAGCCAATCTTCAGGAATTCCCCAAAAGTTTAGGGTTACGGTTACTACCGGCAGATGTGCTAAATAGCATGCGCATACTCCAAGCTTAGTTGTTCATGAATATGGGTAGTTCTCCAAGTTCGGGTCCCCTTTGAGGTACCCACAGCAGTATGGCACACTTCTAACCATGATCCAAAGAGGGACCCTGATTTAATGGAGAGAACGGTATGCACATGATTCGGGTACAGGCCCTCAGGATGGTTAGCCGTCGCAAAGTAATTGCAACTGCTCATACAGGGCACTTGGGGTCCCGGTCGATGTTTCCCTAAGCACCCGTAAAACCATGCAGAACGCATTCTACGCGAAGCATTGAGTAAGAGTCCACTGAAAGCCATAGAATATGCATGCAAGCACATGAAGTGTGGAGGGTTTCTATCAATTCCACATGGGCTCCGTATACACTCACGAAGGCCCTGGTATGAAACCCCTCAGACTCTGACCGCTTCCCCTGGTTTCACTCAAAGGGGAAAAGCAGGGACCCTTAATAAGGACCCCTAGGTATATACCCTTAATACAGCTAGTATATACCCATTATATAGCCCATTATAGGGTAGGGGTCCTCACTAAGGGTCCGTCCTTTTCCCCTTTGATTCCCAGGTGGACACCCAAATCCTGGTGACTGACAAGGCCAGATCGTGAAACCTGCTGATCCTTGAGAACCCAAATTAGGGGTACCTTATTTTTGGGGTCCTTATAATAGGGATCCTAGTATGTAGGGTACCATATTAGGGTACCCTATTTTCGGAAACTCCCATTTAGAGATGCGAGGAAGGAGGAGCCTCGGCACTTTTGGGGTTTAGGGTTTCAGACAAGACCTTAAGGCTCCATGTTCCCATATAGTATATACTTTGACCTTAAAGTGCCTATATAGGGACCCCTTTAAGGCCTAAGTATCTGCTATAAAGGTACATGGAGCCTTGGCGGAATTGTTTGGGTGCTGGGCGTTTAGCTTGGGGACAGGTTTTTGTATTGAGCGCAAAAGCCCAGAGACTCCCAAACCCCTTAATTAAGGAATATGCTTTCAATCATATTAGGGGTCCTATTATACTTTAAGGTATATTCCCTAATTAAGGGGTTTTGGAGTATCTGGGAAACCAGTAGCTGCACCCGAGTTTAAGGGGTGGCCAAGTTAAGGTTCCCCTTGCAGTTTAATATAATTAAATCCTGAGTTACCTTAATGACCCTAATCTATGGGAATTATGGTAGATTCCTCATTATGGGTCATGCAGGATTCATATCATGAACCGTAAGGGGTCGGACCGGTGCGTCGTTGTCGTCATGGTGGCCGTCGTGGTGGTGATGGTGGTGATGGTGGTCGTGGCGGTGGTGGTCATGGTGGTGGTCGTGGTAGGCGCAGGGCCAGTGCTAGTGCTAGTTCTGGTGCTAGTGAGAGCGATAGTGCTGGTGCCAGTGCGAGCACCAGTGCCACTGCCAGTGCCGGTGCTAGTGCTGGTTCCAGTGGTAGTGGCAGTGGTAGTCGTCGTAGTCGTTGTAGTCGTGGTCTGAGTAGTAGCAGCAGCAGCAGCAGCAGCAGCAGCAGCAGCAGCAGCAGCATGATGGCCTGCGATTTTTGTAATAACGGGTCCTAGCCATGTCTTCATACTATCGGCATATTCGCCTGTATAATAGAGTTCATCATAGGGTGCTTGTAGTAATTTACCCAAACCCTTTTCTAAATATTCAGTCCCCGTGTTGTTCCTGATGGCTCCTCCGCAAGGAGATGGATGTGAACAGGAAGGTCAAGAAGGCTGGCATTGAGACTGCACGTTGGGGTATTTGATTCTCACGGAAGAAGGTCCACACCATTCATGGCGGTTGATATACAGCTAATCCCAGCCTGTTGAAGGATCGAACCCTTGATATCAAGCTTTCGAGCCCCGAACTTTACAGGCCATGAGTTCCTTACGCCCGAAATGCACGATGTCAATCTCCTTGGTGCCGATGGGCACGGGTGATGTCGGGCTCAGGCAGGGTTGCTCCCTCACTGGAGTTGCCTTCAGGTGAGCAGCTGACGCAAAAACTCTTCGTGAACCTGAAGTGGCTGCTGCTGGCCATGGACTGGCCATTGTCATGGCTGAAATTCGATCTGCCACTGTTGGATCAGTTGAATGCGAGCATCGTCACGGCTCTTCCCCATCAGTCATGTAGAAGCCTGAGTACGCCGTACTACGGTTGATGATATAAATCCTGCATTACCCATTGTAAGGAATATACCATAATTCCTCAGTTTCGGGTCGTTCAGGTAATGCAGGGTTTTTATCATCAACAGGATTATTCCTCTTGTACAAGCAAGAATCACACCCAAAGCCCGACGAAGAACTCGGAACCCGAACAACTCCTGTGAACCCTAATCAACTACCCTAAGGCTCTAAATCCCTAAGCCCCTCAACTCTGAAGTGCAAGCCCTGACTCTTGAACACTTTCAGCCTTCCAGCAGGGGTGCATGGCTCGGGGTTGAGGGAAGGGCTTGTCCGTGGGTAGGGACTTCAACAATTAGTAATGATGTCCCCCTCACAATCCCCTTATACATTTGTGTTATAAAGCTTGAATCTGGGAACTTAACCACCCCTCCCCCCCCCAAAGAAATTCTCCCAGATTGGAGGACAGGGTGTCCGACGGCTCCTAAACTTCGTCGTTATTATCCAAGCCACGACAGTATCCCTCAACTCGTAAAGGGAGACCCGACCCTCCTTGACATTCTGTCAGCTCACTGATTCACGGCGTTCTAGGAGACTGGATGTCAAGTTTGTTCACGCATCGCCCGTGCTCCAAACACTGAACCCGTAAAGTCTGGTGAGCAGCTAATGTCAGGGAGTATATGGTGCGCCCTGAGGGTTTTGCGTACTCTGCATACTCTTAGTTGCAGGACTTTAGTGCCTTTTTGGGTGTGTGTATACTAAGATCCCCAATACCCAACCTGTATTTTTTTGGCTTCTTATAGTTTAGTAGGACTCGGAAAGTTTAACCTTTTATTTCTGTGGCTTATTCGGGGGGAGTAAGTATGTATGTATATATATATATATATATATATATATATATAAGGACTATTTGGACCCTTAGGGCACAGTTTAGGGTGCAGGGGCTGGAGAACCTGCAGGGTTCACATGTAGCTATCACATCCACCTGCTGCCAATAATTATCGAGCTTTTGGCAAAGCGAGTTGACTATGTATGTATGTATGTATGTATGTATGTAGGTAGGTAGGTAGGTATGTATGTATGATGTGTGTTTATCTACACTTGGTATGACTGTATGTGTTAAAATTACACATATATATATACACATTGCGTTCATGTACATGTATATACACACATAGATAGCTAGTAGCCTTATGGTGCATAGCCCTGTAAGAATTCTCATGTAGGCCTTCTGCGAGCCCGGCAATGTGGAGTTTAATCCCCCGGTGGCCTGGGTCCAGGCCAACGGGGTGCCAGGGTTCCCCGGGACTCCAAAAGCCCTGAACGATGGAGTTTTTTGTGGATTTAGGGTTTACAGGTTAAACCACCGGGTTTAGGATTTAGGGGTTTAGAGTTTTAGGGTTTAGGGCTAGCTTGCTTATAGGTGCTTCTAGAGCTTCCTATTAAGATTTCCGGCGGGATACAGCTGCAGGCAGAAAGGGGTCCTTAGGAAGTTATGATCCTGCAGAGTTTTGGGGTCTCTGGGCTGGTATAACGAGGGTCTTATGGACTTGAACAAGTTTGGGGATGTTGGGCTTGTGCTTCGGAATTTTGGGCCTTCTTTTATCACGGATTTGTGCTAGTAGTGCATGTTGCAGATTGAACTGTATGGACGTTATAAGTGACTCCAAGGGTTCTGTAAGAGTTGTCTGGGTTTCGGGTGTGGTTGGGTTACCGGGTGGCTGTCCAACTGTTATGGCTGTTATGGCTTATAATGGCTATTGCTGAAGTGTTTGGATTTGAGGTTTTAAGGGTTTAGCGTTCAGGTTTGAAGCCTAGGATATGATGTTTTTACAGGGCTTTGCTTCCAAAACTGTCGCCGTTCAGGTGCTCAGCACCCGCTTCTCAGAATCTGAGAGTTACGGTTCTGTTTTTGAAGGACGTCTCCTGAAGCTAGGACTCCGAAATTCTGCATAACCCGCAACCCAAACACCTAAAGTGTGTACGTGACCCAAAGCATATGTCATGGATGCAGATGTACTAATTCGTTGAAGAGGCACGGAAAGAGAACAAAAAGCTTCATTGCTCCCTGACGCTACCGGTCAAGCTATTCGGCAGTATAAAAAAACCCTAAACCCTAAACCCTAAGTGTACACCCACATAGGCAGTCTCAGGAGTCTAGCCGTGATCACAGCTTGTGGTATTGCGGCACCTGTAACATTAAAGCCCTATACCGCACCCTATACACTGGAACGTGGCTTTTTTGTTACCTTCATATTTATTTTTTTTACCAGGTCCTAGCTATAAAATAGGTTATCTAAAAAAGGGTACGCATACCCTAAACCCTGTAGAGCTCCATAGCCCCGTTTACGAGAAGGCCACTGAACAAGCAGAACGAAAACGCAACAGCGCTACCCCAAACCCAGGCACGAAGGAAACCAGAGACCTTAAACACTAATGCTTCAACCTTAACCTAAATCCAACTCCCGACTCTCACCAACAAAAGAAAGAGTTCTTGGAAAAACGGAGACACCTTGAACTCCCTAAACCCCAAACCTCAAACCCCCCACCCCCCACCACCCCCCCAACCCTATAAAGCCCAAACCCGCACCCCCCAACACCCCCTAGAACTCTAAATGCACAAGCAATTCCGCCGATTCTATGGTTGCCGGTTCCCGAGCAAGCCCTAAAGTCCCCGTAACAAGGAGTACTATGAAATTTAGGGACACATGCACTGGGAGCACAGAAGCCATGCTGCCCCTAAACTCTAAACCCTAAACCCTAAGCCCTAGACCCCTAAACCCCTAAACCCCTAAACCCGAAACCCTGAGCCCTAGACCCCTAACCTAAACCCCCAAACCCCTAAACCCTGAACCCTAGAGCCCCCTTCTTGGATCACAGAGGCGATGACCCTAAACCCCTAAATCCCTAACCCCTAAATTGCTAACCCCTAAACCTCTAAACCCCTAAACTCTAAACCCTAAACCCCTAAACTCTAAACCCTAAACCCCCAAACTCTAAACCCTAAACCCCTAAACCCTATAACAGAGGCGATGCTGCCGGCTCTTCCCGAGAAGCAGTTCGTCGCACGGGTCTTGGATCCCTGAGGCCTCGGAGCCACGACCAGCTTGTAGGTTGAGGGGTTAGGGTTTGAGGGTTAGGGTTTAGGGGTTTAGGGTTTAGGGTTCAGGGTTTAGGGTTTAGGGTTTAGGGTTCAGGGTTTAGGGTTTGAGGGTAAGGGTTTAGGGGTCTAGGGGTTTAGGGGTTTAGGGTTTAGGGTTTGAGGGGTTAGGGTTTTAGGGTTAGGGTTTAGGGTTGAAGGCTTAGGGTGTCTGCTAAGGAAGTTAAGTTATAAGTCCGCAGGGTTCCTACAGGTTCCCAGAGCCCCGAAAGGATCCCAAAAGTAGATCCCTTAATGGGGGGTTCCTATAAGCACCCTTAGTAGTATAGGGCCCCAAATTACGGGATCTACTTTCTAGATCCTCCCAGGGGTCTGGGTTGTGGGTTTCTGCTAAGGAAGGTAACTTAATAAGTCACCATGATTCAGGGTTCCGTTGAGGGTTCTAGAAGGGTTTAGGGTTTAAGGTTTTGGGTTTTGGGTTCTTTTGAAGGAATCTATTCTAAGTTACTAGAGTACGCAAACCATATTATTTACTATAGATCCTTACTATGGAAGCTTAAACTAACTCCCTGAACAAGAACCCAAGCTTGCGCAGCTTGTGGTGGAGGGTCTAGGGGTTTAGGGAGTTTGGAGTTTGGCGCTTTGGGGTTCAGAGGTTCGCAGGGTTTAGGGGCTTGGTAGTTTTGCCGAGCCGAACGAACTGCGGTTTTGATAATGCTTGAGAGGAAATCATAAGCAGGAGCTCCGCAACAAGTAGGTTTTGTATGGTTCAGCTTCATCAAATATGCTTTGCAAAGTTGCGCCATGCCGAACCTGAAGCCAAGGTCAAGCGAAAAGAAGAAAACGGAGGCGACCTTGCGTACGCTGAGATCGCCACGCTCACGGAGGCAAAGCATGGGCTTGCGTCAGGAGTCGTCCCTTCCTGCAGCCACCGAAAATTCTAGGCCCAAAGACCCGAAGCTTAATTACCGTTCAGAGCCCAAGACTTAGCAAGTGGAAACCCTAAACCCTAAACCCTAAACCGTGAAAGCTTTTGACCCTGCAGCCCGTTATCCTTGTCAGTTGCAACACTGAAGTGCGACAACCTTTATGCTGGCATGCAGGGCTGTGGTTTCTTTTGCGTTGTCTTGTGTAGTGTAGAGGTCTGGTTACCAGCTTAGTTGGTAAGCCCAATGGCAGACGAATGCCTTCAGGTGCCCTTGAGAGGGATTTAAACATGCATCTCACGAAGCGCGACGCTTTTGCAAACCCTAACCCAATGTGCCCGTGTGTTTAAATACTTTACATCATACAACAAATACTCACCTGCCGCTATTCCTGAACCCCGGTACATAATTATGAGGTGTATGTTACATGTATATATATATATATATATATATATATATACATATGTATGTATGTATATATATATATATGTATATGAATATAGACAGATAGATAGATAGATAGATATATATATATATATATATATATACAGGCCTTAAAAATTACCTATACGGGTTTGGGGGTTCCTTACTATAGTTTTAGAGCAGACCCTTATAGGGTAAGGCCATCATAGTCGCACCCTTGCGCACGAATCTTCCATGGTGTCCCAAACTTCAATCTCGGAGCCCTGAGATACTAGGGGACCCTAATATAATACCCTAAACAGTAGGATCCTTATTGAAGGTGACCTCTAATTTGGGGAAACTCCCATATCGGAGCCCTGAGATATCAACAGGGCCATGAAGTGCTATGATGTAGCTACCTGGGAGATGTTCATCTTTTGCGCGGGGGTTGTGGTATTTCTTGTATAGCGGTACCCGAAACCTACCCTCTTGCCTGCGTACCACGCAGAGCAGAGAATTAGACACCGTGAGCCCAAGTTCTGAAACCTTACTTCTCAACATGTTACTTAGATCCTGGAGTGCGATACGGTGTTTTGGATAGTCTGTTTTGCGGTTAGGAACTCAAGGAATCTGAGGTATGCACTAAACCTGGCACACTACCCGACCCTAAACCCAAAGCCCTAAACCCTAGACCCAAAACCCTAAACCCTAGACCCAAAACCCTAAACCCTAAACCCACAACCCTAAACCCAAAACCTAAACCCTAAACCTCAGAGCCCATGGGGATGAACTCGGTCTTGAAACCTGAAATGCTGTTTTTGGCTTACAGCTGCTCTTCGTAGCGGGTTTTTGGTTTTGGAACAACGCAGTTCACGGCCTCCACGGCTACACTAGCTGAGAATCCTTGGAAACTCGAAGCAACCCAACCACCAAAACTCCAAACACTAAACCCTTGAATCACTGAAACTGAAACCCCAAACACTATACCTCAAGCCCTATAAAGCCCCATCAAACCCTCACACCACCACCACAAAGCAACATGGGAACTCCTATGCAAAAAACGAAAGCCCGTCGTTTCTACGTGCCTTCCGGGAATTCGCAGGCGAAGCCTTACCCTAAGGGTCCATGTACTCATAATTATTCCGGCTTACTTTAAGGGTTTAGGGTTTAGGGTTTAGGGTTTCCCTAAGGGTCCATGTACTCATATAGCATATACCTCGGGCCCAATGTACCTATACAGGGAGTACTTTAAGGCCAATGAGTACATGGACCCTTAGGGTTAGGCAGCCTGAAGCTCTTAGCCCTAACCCCTAGCACGTAAACCTTAAACTTCCTAAACCCTAAAAACCTTTAAAACCCCAAGCCACGAAACCCCTAAACTGCAAACCCCAAACCCTAAGCCCTAAAAACCCCTCAACCCCAAACCACTAACCTAAATCCTAAAAGCCTTAAAAACCCTAAGAACCCCAAAAACCCTAAATCCCTAAACCCCAAACCACTAAGCCCCTAACCCAAAGTGCCTTCCAGGACTTCGCCAGTGAGGCCCTCCATCCCGGAGACCTGAAACCGTCTTTGGGAAAGGCGCTGAACAGCGCCGCCAAGCTGGAAGGTAAGGTTTTTAGGTTTCAAAAGATTTTTAAGATTTTCAAGTCTAGGGTTTAGGGTTTGGGGGTTTAGGGCTTAGAGGTTTTAGGGTTTAGGGGTTTAGGGTTTAGGGGCTTTAGGGTTTAGGGTTCCTTGCTTGGTGGAGCTATCTAGCTGAAGGGTTGACAAGCTCTTAAAGGGAACTCCAGAAAGTTGGAATATGGATTAATGGTAGGATCCCCTATAATTTACCTTAAAGGGATTACGGTAATGATATTCCAACTTTCTGGCTTCTACTGTAAGGGCTAAAGCTTCTCGCGCTGGAGGGCAGGGTCTTATGATTTTTGGCGCCTTGGGTTCGGGGCAGTCGGGCTTTCTAGGCTACAGGGCTTCTATCGGAGGCCTCACAAGGTGGGATGAAGGTAGGTGGGATTAAGGATCCCTTATATGAGGACTCTCATTTGGGAGTATCCCACCTACCTTCATCCTTCCTTTTGAGGCCCCCTATTAAAAGAAGGTCTAAGGATGCCGGCTCTGTAAAAAATCATCCAGTGCAGTGATAAGACCCACCTCCCTAAACCCGTTGTAGGAAGCCATCAAGCCCATGTAAACCCCGCCCCAACACCTGTAGTAAAGCCCCAAAGCCGTGAGCATCATGAGTTCCAGACATACCAAACTCGGAAGACGGAGAACAGATGGGCCGGTGCCTTACAGACTTAGGGTTTAGGGTTTAGGGTTGAAACTCCCATTCGGTGGTTTGGACGTCACTCCGGAATTCCGCTGCCTTCATCGAGTTGCATGTGAGGCTGTATGGGGTCTTGACAGGCACCGTCCCTAAACCCTTTAAACCCTAAACCCTAAACCTAAATGTTGGGGTTCCTGGTCCAGGCAGGGTTTTTGATGTTGCTCCAGGATCAGGATTTAGGGTTCAGCGTGTTACAGAAGATGCCAGATATTCATGGCCTTAAGGTAAAGTATGGGAGGCCGCAGCACTGATCATCCTAAATCCATGTTCCAACTTTCTGCGGCTCAGTACAAAAATTTCCCTTAAAACCCAATACCTAACCTTCAAACTTTTCGGGTTCTTATAGTTTAGTAGGAATCAGAAAGTTTAACCTTTCATTTCTGTGGCTTATTGGGGTAGTAAGTTTCAAGGATCAGACATCAGGGCTACGCTTTAAGGGAGACTTAGTACTTATGTCAGGTTCAGATATCAGGGATCCCTAAGGGTCCATGTGCCCAAATAGTATATACTTACCTGTATTGGGACTACGCCAAGGCCAAAGTAACTACTGTGTGGGTGCATGCACCCTTGGACCCTTATAGGGATTTGGCATTTCAGACTGGGGGTGTTCAGGCTAGAAATGTAGGATATAGGGCTTCCCACTCCTCGATCACAACAGAAAGCAGAATGCCATATTCCCCAAACCCGGCCTTACTCGCGCTTCTCCATGCCTGGCCCAAGAGGTCTCGGCGAATCACCATGAACATCATGGCTTGTTGGGAGAACCCCTAGACCCTAAAAAACTGCCAAAGCCGATAGCTTTAAATCACCATGGAGCCGATACTCGATTCTCTTCCGCCCTAATCTCCGTACCGAAATCTAAACCCTATAGTTGCAAGCCTCAAGCCGTGAAGCTTAAAGCACACGCAGAGTTTAGGTTTAGGGTTAAGGGGTTTAGGGTTTAGGCCCGGAGATTTGTCGATTGGCCCCTCCGGGACACCTGGACTGCTTTGAGAAAGTCAGCAGCCATGATGCACCCAGAGGAGGAGGAAGCGCCGACGGCATCGCGTTTCCAGGCACAGCTCTAAAGCCTAAAGCCTCTTTTCCCAACAAGCCAGCCCCCCCACAGCCCTAACTCCCTGAACCTCGAAACCTTAAAACCCGAAGCCCTCGAACCCTAAAAGTTTCCCCCTTCATGGAACCCCTAAACCCTTAAGACCCCTAAACCCGAAACCCTCACAAACCCAAAACCCTCCAACCCTCATGGAGCCCTCTTCTCAGATCCCCAATACCCAACCCTTAAACTTTTTGGCTTCTTATAGTTTAATAGGACTCGGAAAGTTTATCCTTTTATTTCTGTGGCTTATTGGGGGAGTAAGGTCTTAAAGAAACCCTTACAGATCCCTTATCGTAACCCTTATAGACCCCTTTAAAGCAACCCTAGTTTAGCTTTGTGGCTTATTGGGGGAGAAAGTCTTTGCAGGCCCTGAACTTCATGCCGACACCGCAGAAGCCCGGGAACGAGGCTCACGGACCAAAAGGCTCCATGTACCCATATAGTAGGTACTTAGGCCTTAAAGTACCCATATAGGGACCCCTTTAAGCTGCTATATGGGTACATGGAGTCTTAGGGGGACCGATCCTAGGGGAGTTTTAGGGTTTAGGTTCATTCTGGGGTCCTTGCAATAAGGATCCTACTTTTTACTATAGTCTCTTTAGGATTCTTTCATGATTGTTCAGATAAAATGCAAGAGAACATAACAAATATTAGGTTTTATGGTTCTAAGGGGGGCTTAGTATAGGGTACTATATCAGGGTCCCCTATTTTCGGAAACCCCCCAAACCACATTTAGAGTCTAAACATGCGGGCTTAAGGGTGGCTTTGGCTTGCAACATAGGGTTTAGGGCTTGTAGGGGTTTGGGGTTTAGGGTGGCTTAGCAGGGTTTAGGGTTTTTCAGTTTAGGGTTTAGGTAGTGTTGAAGCAAAGGATCCATATCCGGGCAGTCACTGTGTACCTAGGTCCCCAGGTCAAGGCTTTTTGCTTTATACTAGGGACCCAAAATTTCAAAAAGCACATAAGCATAAGCATTTTATAGGGATATCCCTACCTTATTGGGCTTCATTACAAGAGGATGTATATGGGATATCCCTATCCTAATTTTTGCTTATGTGCTTTTTTGGGGCCCTAGTATAGGCTGGATATGGGGCATGACTGCCGAGGAACCCAGTATCTGAAATCCTTCAACCCGGACACCCTCAAGCCCCAAACCTTCAGACTAGTTGTTGCCTTTAGGGCTCAGCGTTCAGCATTTACGGGCTTACGGTTTCAGTGAACATGATCCCAAGACAAAAGGGGGCGCTTATGGGTACTTAGACCTTCTATCTGGAAGCCGAACGCCCGATACATAGACCATTGCACTAAACAGCACTAAACCCAAACCATCCTAGACCCTACCTAGAGTCTCCATTGTAGTGCCTTTTTTTGGTTAACCAGTTTTAGGGTTAGGATCCTATAATGGGGATTTTGGTAAACCCAAAAAAGGAACTACAATGGAGACTACAGGTAGACCCCTACAGTCTAAAATCAGAATCCTTACACCCTGAAAGCTCAACCTTCAAGCTTGAATTTTTACATGCAGCAGACGAGAGATCACGACCCCTGGCCTCAATTTCTGCCCGACCTCTACGCACAGATCAACTCTAACACCCACATCGGCAACTCCAACACCGAAAGTCGAAAGCCTCCTAAATGCTGAAGCCCTAAAGCACTAATTAAGCCCTACAGAATTGAACCCCAAAACTTTGGGTACAGGTAAACCCTATAAGTTGCAAAATCTCAAAATTCCTAGACCCTGTGAACCCTAAACCCTAAAAGCTTAAGCCCCATATGATCCCTGAGCATTATAACCATAAGGGAGTTTCCGGACATAGGGGACCTTAGTATAGTGCCCTAAACAATAGGATCCTTATTATAAGGACCCCAAAATACGGTACCCCTAATTTTCGGACATTCCCATAACCCGAAAACCCTTAAAAACCTGTGAGGCAGGAGATAACCCTAAACACCTAGGCACTAAACCCGAAACCCGAAACCCCTAAACCCGGAACCCCTAAACCCCTAAACCCCTAAACCCGAAACCCCTAAACCCGAAACCCCTTACCCCTAAACCCTAAGCCCCGAAACCCCTAAACCCCTAACCCCTAAACCCTAAACCCGAAACCCCTAAACCCCTAAACCCTAAACCCGAAACCCCTAAACCCCTAAACCCTAAACCCGAAACCCCTAAACCCCTAAACCCTATACCTTAAACCCCTAGACCCGAAACTCGAGCGAGGAGATCCTCGAATCTTCTCCGCCGCCTCCGGAGGGGGCGGGCACACTTCCTGGCAGTGCTCGAAGGGATGAAGATGCCCGGCTGCTGGGTTTAGGGTTTAGGATTTAGGGGTGTAGGGTTTTAGGGTTCTACTAAACTGAACTAAGATCCCCAATACCCAACCTTTAAGCTTTTTGGCTTCTTATAGGTTAGTAGGACTCGGAAAATTTAACCTTCTATTTCTGTGGCTTATTGAGGGAGTAAGCCAAGCGGCTGCTAAACGCTTGATAACATGAAGTCTACCAGGACCCCCCACGTGCCCTTTAAAGGGCTCTGATATTTCTCATTAAGAGGTAACTTGGGGCTACAATAAAGGGTAGTTGGGGGGTCTAGGTAATGTAAATGCCTAGATTCCTTAACTGAATTATAGTAGGTAGTAGGGTCCCTCATGAAGTTTTCAGTATACTCCTTAATTGACAGGTTTGTTTAGGAAGAGGGGTCACGGGGTCAGGGATAGATGAACAGATGAACGAGCCGGGGGATGAGGTGGTAGGGTTGAAGCTTTAGGGTGTAGGTCGTTAGCCTAGGGGCCTTGACAATTCGAAGAGGGTTTGAGGGTATGTCGGGGGACGCACAAGGAGCCCCCAAAACCCTAGTCTATTTTCATAAAAAGGTCCTTAGACTACGGGTTTATGGGGTTTTGGAGTTTGGGGGTTTAGGGGGATCAGGGTTCAGGGTTTGGGTTTATCTTAGGGGTTCCACGGCATAGGATGTAGCAAGTATTTAATTTAGGACATCCAGGATTCGAGTCCAGTGCTTTTGCGATGTCACGCTGTCTGGCTTGTGATATGGGTGGTTGTCAAATTTACGGTCCCTTGTGGGTCCCTAGTATAGTACGCCACCTAATGCTTAGGGTACCCAAGAAGGGACCCTAATTTTGACAACCACCCATATGGATGTTTGTGACCTA